TCAGAGAATATTCCAGGAAAATTATGGAATAACTAGAAAAGAAGCGCTACCCTTACTTACATTGATGTTGCTGAGAGGATGGGGTATAGGGTCACCTTGTTTGAAATGGAGACAACCAGAAGGAAGCAAAGCAGAGAAGCCATGGGAGTGAGAGTCCAGTGGCCTTATTTGAGTCACTTTGGCTCAGCCCTAACTAAACCTGCCCTAGACATTGCTGTTATGGGGTGTGTAAGAATTGCAACCAAGAATGTTCAGGGTTCACTAGTATTATCTAATTCATTTCTAAAATCCTTTGAAATCTTGATAAAAAACATTTATTTTTGTCTATTAAAATGTAGTAGTCCCAAACTAAAATTTTGCAATCATTTTACAAACTTTATCTCCTGGACTCATTAGGGCAAGAGTCATAGTAAGAATTAGGCATTAACATCTCTCATTTTACAGTTGATAAATCTAAGACTCGGAGTATGTCACCAAGAAATGCCCAAGAGGCAAGTGTTGAGCTAAGTTTTGAATCCAGATCTTCCTGGCTCAAAATCCATTCTCTTTCTACTACACAATTTTGACTGTTTTACTCAAACCAACTACAAAGATCAAATGCAATCTGATGACATTTTATGTAGGGCCCCTGTACACATCTTGTTTCTGCTGGTGGAAATTGTACTCACTCTTCAAGTCACTGCTCAAATTATTTTACTATGTCTGAGTCTCAATTTCTTCAACTATTTCGCATATAGAGTAGTTGAAAAAAATTAAATAGCATAACACATGAGCAAATGTTTCTGGCACAATACATGCAATGCACTAGATGCTTAACAAATTATCTAAAATCCACTTTGTGCATTACTAAATCATAAGCTTAAGAAGTATAGCTATAAATTAATCTTTATAGATAGTTCCCAGAATATTCTAATCAACAGTGTCTTTTCATGTCAGTAATCTTGAATTTTTTTCTTTCTTTACCTTTCCTGTGTCATCAAAGATGGGAAAAATCAGTATCATTCCTCCAGTTCAGTACAACCTTCAAGTTACCCCAAAGATTGTGAAGTTCTTATGATAAATAGGGAAAGACTAGGTACATTTATTGGTCACCTATTGTGAGCCATGATAATGTTCAATTTTATGTAAATATTAATTAATTTAATCATCAGACCACTTATGAAGTCATATTATTATCCTTGCTTTTCATATGAGAAAATTAAGACTCAGAAACAACATCCAAGTCATGTAAAATCACTCATGAATAACAAAAGGGAATGTTATTGCAGAAAGTGCATCAATTCTAGGGTGAAGGAGACCAAAATCTCATCAATTACTAGTTATATGAAGTTGGGCCAGTGACTTCAGAGCCTTGTAGGGACAGACTGAAATAATGTCTATTAAAGCCTGGCTTATAGTAAATACCCATTAAATAGTGACCCCGCTGTCTTCTAGACAGCAGTGAGGCTATGAGTTGACCCCCATTTGTATCTGACTCTTTACCCTCCCAGCCTCCTTGTATAGACATGGGGCATGAGATTTTTCAGACCTAGAAATGTGTATTTGGGTATTAATTGATTTTTTATTTAAAATGAATTCCTTAAAAAAACCCTCTCATCTGCTAAAGATTCAATTGAAATTATTAGCCTATAGCATTTATGTAAATATGACGTATGCAGCTCTAACAAAAACAGATTAACCCCTCACTTTCATATTTTATGCTGCATGAGGCACTGAAAACTAAGTCTGGTGAATAGATGTCTTTTGTGGTTTTAATCATAACAATTGTACCAAATGACTTCTTCTTGTGCATGTGATAACATCATAATGGAAAACTAAATCGATAGCATATTTCTCAATCTAATTATATGTCTTGCATTTCTAAACCAGTTTTAATGAAATACAATAAGTGGTAGTGTGGAAATTAGAAGAGGCTGAAAAAAAAAGAAAAACTAAAAGAAAAAGCAGTTGCCAATAATACTATCAGTGAGAGGAATAGAAGTCTGAACTATGCCTGTCTCTTGTGAACAATGCCTTCCATTGTGGCTATGCAATAAAACACCAAAGAGGTGGTGAGCTTATCCAAACAAATCATCATTTTCAGAAACAAGCATTTTTTACAGAACAAGCCAAGGCTACATTAATTAAAAAATATATAAGCACCATCAGAGACTGCAAAACTCAACTACACACAACCCTCATCTTTCTCTTTTAGGCCGCCACCTTATTAACACACTAAGGACTTAACATGATTTCAAAATACCTTTTAAATAACACATCAGGCTCATTATAGAAAATTTGGAAAATATTGAAAGATACCAAGAAAAAAAATACAATAACCCCAAATCTCATACCCAGAGGTGATTGACATTTTCCATATTCCTTCAGTTTTTCTTATATATATGTCATATCTCTGAAATGATATAACTTGGTTGGAAGCATAGTCAGATAATTCAAAAAAATAAATAGTGCACAGATAGATGCTGATATAAAAACATTATTTTTATAGATGCTGAATGAGTTTGCTAAGGTTACTATAACAAGGGACCATAGCCCAGGTGGCTTTAAATAACAAATCTATTTCCTTGTAGTTCTGGAGGCTGGCAGTCTGAGATCAAGGCATCGGCAGGGGTGGTTTTTTCTGAGATCCTTCTATACTTGGAAATGACCACTTTCTCCCTGATGTCTACCAGTAGTCTTTCCTCTAAATATGCTTTGTCTAAATGGCTTCTTCATATAGGAGGCCTTTTATATTAGCTTTGGGCCTAGCCTAATGACATCATCTTAACTTCAACACCTATTAAAAGAACTGTATCTCCAAATACAGTCACAATTTGAAGTACTAGGGTTCAGGTTTTCAAAATATAAGTTGGGGAGGGAGATATAAGTCAGTCTGTAACAAGTGCTAAATGTGACTAAATAAATACACTATATACCCAATAATACAATAATACCTCATGTATGCTCATATCCTGAAAATATTCACAGGTCTTTCAACAGGCACTAGAAACATAACTAGTAGTAAACCAAAGTCTCTGTCTTGAAGAAATTGAAATCAGTGGGCAAAGGAAGGACTGTTAATAAGTGGAATTTTAACATTTAGCATAACTCTGGGGAAAAAATTGTGTCAAAGATCACCTTATACCAAATATCAAAATAAATTCAAAATTAAAACGGATAAATGTAAGGAAAGGGAAGATAAACAAAAAGGAGGAGAAGGAGGTTAGCAAAGGAAAATTAGTAGAAAAGGGGTGAGAGTTTTATGTAAACTGTGAATGAGGGAGATTTTTGTTTTTAATTCATTCATAAATTCATTTATTTAATAAGCATTAATTGACCAAAGACGACATGCCAGGTGTTCTGCTAGACACAGAACGAACCAGTTTTTTTGGTGCTCATGCACAATGCAAGAAGTCCCTTGGCTTGTTAGAATGTGAATACAAGTTCACAGTTCTTTGCTAGCCTGTTCAGTGTTGACCTCATCTATGCTACCAACATCACATGCTGTATGCAGCAAACAAGTCCCCATGTAAGTTGTTTTCTAAGCATTTTTGTAAATCAGATCCTATTAGAAATGCACAAAGAGGGCCGGCTGTTAAAGGAGCCCTGGGGGAACCGTGTGTGAAAAGAAGCATCCTTATGGAAAGGGAAGATTGCTGCCTGGGCTCCAGTGCTGTCTCAATCCTGACTGTGGTACCTAGGCCCCGGCTTGCAGGTTATGCCTGAGCGCTCATCTGTGCTCACACTGTCTGTCCTTCTGCCTGGGACTGCAAACCCCTGGAGGTTGGCCCACCACATCTGTTCCCTTCATTGTGGCCGGTGTCACAATGAAGCTTTATGAAGCTTTCACAAAGAGATCCTAGTAAATGCTTTTAGATGCTGATAATGGTGCAGAAAAGGAACTCAGCAGGCAATACCTGTGGGGCTATAGAGAATGCTTCCTCCATACCCTCCTGACCAGGCAGGCCCTGAATCACATGCCTGGAACTGCACTTCCAGCTACAGGGAGAAAGCAGGTCCCTGGCATCTCTTGGTCCCATTATATTCCCAGTGGCAGAGAAAAAAAAATTATTTGAGGGATGACAAAATAGGATGAGAGAGTTGGGAATTTGCGGGGCATGCCAAGAAGTTCAGTCTGGAAGACATTTGGGTGCTCATCACCCAGAGCCTTGAAAAAGGAGTCAAGTTTTTCTCTATTCTTCCAGGTAGGACAGCCAGAGGGTCACTGTCCTTGTCAATGGGAACTGACTCATATCAGCAGCTCATTACAGTGACGCATGCTCTCATAATTCAGTTAACTTCTCAGAAGAAACAGATATCCCTGCTCTTATCTTGAGTTCCAAAAAAGAACTTCAACAAAAGTTGATTTTCTAATAAGTAATCTTATACTAGCATTATAATTTCTAATGGAAAATTGCTGATTTTGATCAAAATGTAGTGACTCTAAAGTTGTCTTAACTCAATGTTAACAAATATTGCCTCCTAACTATGTCAATATTGGTGAATTCCCTAAAGGGGAAAATTATCTCTGATAGACTTAAGTCATTTTAATTATTGGACAAGTTTTCTATTTAGTAATATTTTTCCATCTTTATTTCTATCTTATTAAACCTACTTTCATGAATGTCCATTTTTTCCTTTTGTACTTAATTCATCATTTTGTTAATTGTCAACACTAAGTTCAATAACAATAGCTTCTCCCTTCATAAGTTTTCTTTGGGGGATATTATTTCCACAAGGTCTAATTTCCTTGACATGATTTAGAACTTATAAATTTTGTCAAAATAATTTTATTCACTCACCAATATTTTGTTAATAAGCTATTTTACAACATTGAGTTTTAGCCTTTGATGATTTTGTTAGATTATACTTCCAAAAAAAAAAAATGAGTGTATTCCAAGTTGATTTTTGCATTTTTCAACTTCATGAATTTTTTTTCTCTCTAACACATTTACTTATGGGAAGCCTTAGCTGTTGTCAATTTCTGCTTTTTATTATTTCTATGAATAAAACATCCCATGTGAATTTGCTATCAAATAGTATATTTTTATTAATCTGTAAAAACAAATCAGAAACAGAAGTCAAAATATCTGTGAAGTCAAAATAGTGCGGTAGAAACTTGCTGCTTTACTTCAAATCCCAGCTTCCTTGGAGTGGTATGTCGCTTGCATGTAGGCGATAATCTCACACAGAACACTTTCCAGGAGATGGCCATGGAGGCGTCCACTTTCTCAGCCACCTGACAGTGAAGCGTGAGCACATAACTGGTTCCATCAGTCCACTTTGACTCTATAGCTAGAGAAATAAAGATGGGGAAAAGAGGAGGGGTGTTTTGTTTTTGTGTTTGTGCCACAAAATTGAAGCATCAGGAACGTAAGAGTACTGGAATAATCAGGAGAGCTTTGCATGCCAGGTTTAGGGGTTTGACCCTTATTCTAGAAGGATCGGGAGCCATACAGATTTAATTCTATTTGGGGAATTTCATGCTCATATCTGAGATGTAGAAAAATGACTCTAACAGTATCATGGAGAATGGATTGAAAATATTAAGTTGGGAGAGAGGCCTCCTCAGGACCGACTCTGAACTACAGTTCGGTATCTTCCCAACCTTTTATGACATGGCTCTCTACTTCACTAAAACCTTCCACATTTCTAGGCTTTCCATGACCCAAGAAATTCCTTGCTCCTATTCTCTACCTAAAAGGCTCCAATACACAATAATATCAACATAAAGTGAACATAAATATCTATGATAATACACAGTAATATCAACATGAAGTGAACATCAATATCTATGATATTGATAACAAACATTTATTCCATTTATGCCATTGATTTCCATTAATCTCAGCAGATAATAAAATTTAGGTCTGGAAAGGCTAGGTGACTTGTTTAAACTTGTCTAACTAGTAAGTAGTAAGGCCTATATTTAAATTCAGTTTGACTATATGGGTTTTAATCTATTTTTTGTTGTTACAACAGAATAACTGAGACAGGATGATCTATTGGGAAAAAAAAGTTTAATTTTGCTTCATAGTCCTGAAGACTGGTTAAATTCAAGAGCCTATGATTGGCATCAGCTTGTCTTCCAGTTCGGGCCTCTTACTGTTTTAACTTATGGCAGAAAGGAGAAGGGCAAACAGACACGTATGGAAGAGAGAGCTAGAGGGGCTGGGTTTCCTTTACAAAAACCAGTTCCCTCCTCATGACCTCATCACCTCTTACAGCCTCATGGCCCAACACAACAATGGCAGTCAAATTTCAGCATGAGTTTCAGAGATGACATATTCCAGTCATAGCCCTATGCATATTCTTAACCCAAACTAAGCTGTTCCACCACAAGATATTTGAAAGTTCACAGTGTGCCATGTATTTTCACATATATTCTCTTACTGTAATATTCTTGGGTAGGTGTTATTATTTCGATGCAGAGAAAACTGAATCACTAGTTGTTAATAGTTTGGAATGTGAGGTGTCCTCCAAAAGCTCATGTGTGAGACAATGCAAGAAGATTTACCTGAGAAATGATTGGATTGTGAGAGTCTTAACCCAATCCGTGTATTAATCCCATGATGGGAATAACTGAGTGGTAACTGAAGGCAGATAGGATGTGACTGCAGGAGGTGGGTCACTGGGAGCGTGGCTTTTGGGTATATATTTTGTATTGTGCAAATGGAGTTTCTCTCTCTACTTTCTGATCATCATGTGAGCTGCTTCCCTCCACCATTCTTTTCTACCATGAGGTTCTGTCTCACCTCCAAAACCCGAGAAATGAAGCTGTCTCTGGACTGAGATCTCTAAAACTGTGAGCCTTCAAATAAACTTTTCCTCTTCTAAAATTGTGTTTGCCAGGTCTTTTAGTCATAGCAGCAAAGAGCTGACTAAAACATTGGTCTAACTACAAAGTCATTATACTTACCTATGAATGTCTGGCTCATGGATGTTTGTTGGAAGACTGACTCCTTTCCTCCTATCTGTTGTTGCTGTGTCTGCCATGCCCATATGCATATCTTGCTGGTTATCCAAATATAAAACTGGTCTAATCACACCTGCATCCCAAACCAGCTAGCACCCATTCCCATTAATAATCCAGCCTGTATGTGGGGCTGGAGAGGTCAGTTGGTGTGGTTTCTCACTCCTATCTCTTCCAAGCAAAACCGTCCAGGCCATAGCCTGCTGCCTACATGACCACATTCACTGTTCCATGACTCTGCTATTCAACTAAAACTGGTTGAATTTGAAAGGAGACAATCATACAGCCTTTGTTGGAAAGTTGAAATTAAAATGTTGAGGGTATAAATCAGGATGATATAGGGATCCAGAGGTTCAAAGGCATAATCAGAATCAAAGTAACCATGATAAGCCACAGGTGAGCCAAAGATACAGGGAGCAGAAGCAAAGAAGATGCTAGAACTCTAAGTCATAGAAGAGGATGTAGAGTAAGTGCTCATGGAGGATGAAAATGCCCAGAGGGTGTGGGAGACAGTGAGGCCCATGGCAGAGAAGGGAGGAGTATTGGAGCTGCCCAATTTATGACTCTTTGTCTCTATCCAAGAGTGACATGGAATGTAGGTGACACTCTCTCCCTTATTACCCACAGAGACAAACTTAAATAACAATAATAGCAAACAGCCTACTCCCGCCACTGAATCTTGAAGTTTTCTTGTAAAAGATTTTTGGGGTGCTTAATTCAAAAATCAAGAGGGAAAGAAAGTCCAATTATGAAATGTGAAACCTAGAGTCTGTGAGCTAAGCCTCCAGTCCCAGATGCCAAATGATCCAGCTCTCCTCCTGGTTCCCTCCAGCGCTTGCTTGGGTCCCTTCTGCAGTCCCCAAGAGTCCATCTCAATCTCGTCAGAGTTGTGGGAAATCTTCCCCCTGCCTAGAACTCCAGCCGTATATCAGATCTGGCCTCTCCAGACATTTAAGCTCTGTGGCTCAAGAATGGATTTGGGTTGTTGTTTATTGCTGTTACAAATACAACCAAGATTTGACCTCCCTCTCTGCCTAAAGCCTCTTATCCCTGCTTTCAGAGAAAGCCACCGGAAGGAAATGGTATCTTGATTTACTTTTCCTTCCCAGCGATATTTCAAGTCCATTTTTGCAGCAACCACACATACCACCTACTACCAAGGTGATTTAAAAGGTGAAGCTTTGTGTTCTGGCAGCTTCACCAATCCCCTACACTGAAATCTGAACTATATCCCTCAAAGACTCCTGCATTTCACAAAAAGCTTTGCTTGGCAAAGGAAAGAATGTGAGCACATTTAGACTTGATTCCCTGAACAAAGGGCTCCCATGCTCACTTTGAAAGAAGAGATTTAGTGTGGCTGTGACACTGACCAGGGCTAAAAAGTCTGATGCTAGCAACTTACTCATTTTCCAAATCACTGGGTCTCTGCCTCAGTGGGAGCTTATGGGAAAACAAGGGAGAGGGCATTGTGGAAATGACTAGTTGGCAAAATTGCCTTATTTTCTCTTGCTCTTTGTCCCTTGCTGCTCATCTCCAAGGCAGACATCCTCACCCTGGCACCACACGCACCTTCATTCAGGAAAGAATCACAACCCAGGTCAAGTGGGCCTTAACCATTTGGCAAAGTTCAAGGTGTTTTGGAGGAGGCCTCCACCTCGGCTGTCTCCTCCTCTAGCTCCTTTTATCTTCCTGGCATTCTGTCAGTTCCAGCTCAAGTTCTGCTTGAGGGGTTTAGTATTTCTAGAACAAACTAAACAGTTCTCTCCAAAAGGCAAAACAAAAACTTCCTATAGACTTTTTAGGAATGATTTCATCAGATATTTATTTCATTAATAAGAAGAACCCAAAACATGATTTGGGGGTGAGTAAAGAAAGAGAGAGGGAAAGACAGAAAAAGGGTTTATTTATATGTGACTGAGTTTTTTAAAATAATGCACATATATAATCTTAGTAATTTAAAGAAAATGATATAAATATTATTAAACATTTTTCAAACTGTTACCCAATCTATTGCTATGGTTTGAATATGGGTAGACCCAAAATGGGGTGTGTGTGTGTGTGTGTTTGTGTGTGTGTGTGTATTTGGTTCCTAGGATCAAGGTATTAGAAATGGGGCTTAGCAGAAGTTCCTTAGGTCATTTGGGGTGTGAGTTCATAGGGAATTTGGGGACTCCTGTCTCTTCCTGCCTTTTTTTTTCCTGCTTCCTGACTCAAGATATATCCTGTAAATCTCACATGTTCACATGCATTCCCATCATGATATGCCATGCTCATCAGAGGCCCAAACCAATGGGGCTGCCCAATCTTGGACTAGAACCTCCAGAACCTCAAGCCAAATAAAACTCCCTTTACTTTATAAGTTGCCTTTGTCAGATATTTTGTCATAGTGATGAAAAATTGACTAATACAACTATATAGATTTTCATCATTTAACTCAAATATCAATTTAAATAAGCTAACACACCCTTAGTCTAACATGAGGATTGATGTCTTAGGCTGAATACTGAATTCCCTAGAAAACAGATTCCAAGGCTTAGGTTTTCACATTAACATGTGAGAGAGTTCAGTGCCGAAAAAGCAGGAAGGAAGAAAATTGCTGAGGCCAGGAAGGAAGGGAACCGAAAATAAGGAAGATATTACCAAGCTGGTCACAGCTTAGTACCATGGATGTCTTCTGAGAGAGACTATGAAACTGCTGCTTTCCTGTACATACTGAATATGGAATAAAATAGAGAATTATCAAATTGATAAAGCCCATTCCATGGAGCATCAGATCCTTCACACATCTACCTTGTACTACCCAGCCCATTGGCACCATCTGAGATCAGATCCCTAGATATCTGAAGCCAGATTCCTCATTACCTGAAGGCAGACCCCTGAAAGTACTGAGGATAAGCCTACAATTCTCTTAGCATGCACAGGTGTGGTCTGCAGTCTAGCCTTGGTAAGCCAGTATGCATGGTCACTGCACATGCATCACACTGAATCCCAGGGCACCATGGTGTTTCCTGCCTCGGCAGCAACACTGAAAACCCAGAGCACAAACTATTGCATTAATACAAAGGACTAGAATCAGATGGAGTGCCATGACAACCTGTGCCCAGCCATAACAGTAGCCACAGAACTCAAGATGAAACATCCCCTCTGGAGGCTGTGAGAAAAAAACAAACAAACAAACAAACAGCTGCTGTCAGGTTATCATCCCAGAGGGCCAACAGCAGCATCAAGCAAAAGACTGTGTCCAAGAAAATAAGGAGTGGTACACAAACTTCATCAGGAAGAATACCTATGAACACAACAAATGAATTTAAATAGCAGCTCCACCAATGGCTGGATTTGTAATTCTGGCAAGTTTCTTAAATTGCTAGCAGAGGGGAGGCTAAGTTACAGTATGAGAAAAGTCCCCAAATTTCTGTTGCTTGATATGACAAAATGGTATAATTCCTTATGCTTCAGTTCAGTGTAATTTGGAGTCTCCTCCATTTGCAGTGACAATCTCTGAGACAGAGATTCCAAGCTCACCACAAAAAGGAATGAAAAAACTTGAGGTGTTTTCAAGTGAGACTTAGAAGTGGCCAACATCACTTCTGCCCACATTGACCAAAACTCCTTTTAGGATCCAAAGCAACTGCAGAGGAGGCTGGGAGGTGTGGTTTATTTCTATGCTCAGGTGAGCACTTACTATTTCTATGTGGCATGTTTAACCTTTCTGCATAGGACTTCATTTTGACCTACACAATAATCATTCATTCATATTCTCTCTCTCTCTCTCTCTCTCTCTCTCTCTCTCTATATATATATATATATATATATATATAATATATATGTATGTGTATGTGTGTATATATATATATATCTTCTGTCTCCAAGTTTATGGTGAGGATCAAATGAGGTTGTATTGTTAAAATTATTAAGCCCAGGCTCAGACAATAGATGTCATAAATGTCCAAAAAATAATTGTAGCAGTAGCACAGGAGGTATGACGGTAATAATTGTTATTCACATCATAGATATAATTACTATTGAAATATCACTGTTAGCATCCATTGCCCACATTTTGATCCAAATATGTCAGAATCTTGCATTTAAATTCGTTTCTCCCTCTTCAGTTCTTCCCCCATGTAAACAACAATCTCATCTTCTTGAGGTAGTTCCCTTAGCTCAATTTCCCTTTAGGAGAAATGTCTATCGCCCAAAATGTATGATAATAGTTAAAAGTTCTTATTTTCTTCCCACTGCATTTTTGGTTGACACTTCCAAACCTCCTACCCCCTCAATTGGGAATGTCTGCATCTATCTCTTGGCCCCTGAGTGGCTTTGATGATGAGGCCATAAAATGGAAAGAGGAGCAAGGAATCAATCAGAACATTTCTTTTCTTCATGATGGAGCCAGTTTAACAAAATACCAAGTCCTTTGTGTAGTTGACATGTATTTACTGAGAATCTTCTATGTGCCCAGTTCCATGCTGAGTTCCAGGGGTATAGAAATAGATAAGACTGCCCATGACTAACAGGGTCAGGTCCATGAAGAGTAGCATAAATCAACTATAATAGCCAAAGAGTCTCAATTGTGGATAACAGAATCATAGGCTTTTAGGAAGGTGTAGATCATTGTCAGAGTGGTGACTCATTTATGGATCAGGGAAGTCTGTCTGAATCTAGGTCCACAGGTAAAGGTGGCCAGTAGGATATATAATGGCATCAGATCACAACTAAACTATAAGTGTGTTCTCCAACTCTAAGTACACTTGAGGACAAAAATCCTTGGTCAGTCAAGCATGTGCCACAGAGGGTGGCAGATCGGGACAGGAGCCCAGGATTCATTTATCTAAGACATAACTAAACTCTGGTTGTAAAGTGACACACTGTACTCAGACCTTTTCATTCATGGCATGATTCTTTAATGTTCTGACATATTGGATGGGCTGTCTTTAGTCCTTAGACCTGGGGCCAGGGGGTGTGGGAAAGGACATTGCAGATTACTATGGTCCCTCAAGCCTGTCCATCATCACAGGTCTCACCTTTCCATGGAGTAAGGTGTCTGTGCAAAGAATTGTTTTCAGTTGCCACATCAACTTATCTTATAGATATGTCAGATATAAACTGCTACTAAGCACTTCTACAGTCATCCTGGCCCCATAACATCTATAATAACCCTCTCTTCCCAACATCCACAATTCTGGAAGGACCACATTGTTATCGGAAAATATTGGCACTGTTTCAGTTAGGGACTATTTTCCTTCCATAAAAGAAATTTAGAGGTTGACATCCAGGACTAGTAAGGCAGTTTGACATTTTATCAATATCTCAGGCCCCCTTGATCATTCTTTTCTGTCATTCTGAATCAAGAAGGCAAACATTTAAGAATGATTAGGTTGCAAACTGCCTGTCACTGCTTACTAATATTTGCTTCATTTTAATTTACTGCTATAATTTTTGCAACTAAAGACCAATTTTTGACACTCACCCTAAAAATGCATATCCTCCCTGTGAAAGTAATACAGAAGGCAGCAGTTTGCTCCTGAATACAATTTCATTTTGAAAGATCACTGAAGCTCAATAAATGTTGGATTTTTCAATGGCATAGGAACAAATATAGGACTACTTGAGAGTAGAGAGCACTGAGAAAGTTAAGTGTCTTTGAACTGACAAGATTTTAATGGGTAAAAAGAGAGATAAGCTATTGTTGACTTCAGTATGAAGGATGTATTGTCAGGTTGCAAGAGAATGTTGGAGAGCTGAGATGCCACCTCATTCTTACAGAACCCTTTGTCTTGAATCACCTTGAATATTACCATAGTACGGAAGGCTTCAACATTCCAAAAGACACAATCTATATCCCTGATACCTGCTTTTCTGTATACATCTAATAATTCTGTGCACAAAAACATTGAGTATTGTATGATTTTAAATAATACTAGACATCATAACAAACTCAGAAACATATAAAAACTCAAATACAATAAGTATTTCTTCTTCAGATATAACACAACAAATAATCTTCATTGGTGATGACATTATTCCAAGAGAGTTTTTGAGGACCTAAGTTCCTTCCATCTCTTATCTCCACCACCTTAAATGTGCTACTTCCAAAATTATTGTGTTTGTTTCCCATAAGCCAACAGTAGGAGGAACAAGCAATGGAAGATCCCAAATGAGAGGTCTGAAAGGGTAAGGCTTAGAAATGTCACATAGTAAGTCCTCTCCTATTGCATCAGCTGGAAATCCATCAACTTACCATACTTTGAATCAAATGAAGTTAAGAAATATAGCCAGGCACGTGCCCATGAAGGATAAGAAATTGGCTTGACAGAAGCTATTCCAAGTTTTCTGTAAGTGCTCATATGGTTTGGGTCTAGAATGCCCCCCAAAGTCTTAGGTGTTTGTTCAGAGGTGGGATTTTAGGAAGTAATGACATCATAAGGACTCTGACCTCATCAGTGGATTAATTCATTCATGACTAAATAAACTACCGGGAGGTGGGACCTAGTTGGAAGAAGTAGGTCACTGGGGATATGCCTTGGAAAGATTAATTTCTCTCTGGCCCCTCTTTTTTTTCTGCTTTCCAGCTGCCAGAAGCTGAGAGCTCTCCCCTGCCACACCCTCCACCATGATGTTCTGCCTCACCCCAGGCCTAGAGCAATGGAGCTAACCAACCATGAGCCTCTATAACCATGAGCCAAAATAAATCTTTCTTCCTTTCAGTTGTTCAAGTGAGGTATTATGGTCACAAGAGCATGAAGCCAACACAAGTGCCTACTCTGTTCCAAGTGGAAAGACAGCAGTTAACACAGACATATGCTAAAATACAGAGAAGAGTAAAAGAGTTCAACAAATAATCATACATGTGCATAACAACATATACTTATTTAAACAATGCAGTTGTGAATATGATGGGAAAGGAGTACAAAGGACACATATGATGAGTATTATGACATAGATTACAAGGGGCTAAATGTATAGGAATATGTAGAAATTAACCAAGGTGAGAGTGCAAAGACTCTGCGTGCATGTGTGTTGTTTAAGGGACACATTCAAGGGTACAGGAATAACATAAGTCTGGGGGGCTTGATGTGTCATTGGTTCCATTTCACATCTAGCAAGTGGTCTACTATATGCCAGTCTGCTTTGTAGGTTCTAAAATGGAGAATGTAAACTCTTGCTGTCTACTCCACTAACTTGAAGCACTAATATTGATCCATAAGAAATACCTCACAAATAATCCCATACATTTGAGATGAGTTCCTGGGTAGAAAATGATTCTTTATGGCACTGAGTAGTTCTCCTTGATTTACTTATTAAGTAAACAGTAAGCCTAAAACCAGGATATCATTGTCATAATCTTAATGCAAAGGCCAAGCTCTACCTACTGGACAATGGGTTTAAATTTAAACCACATTGTCACACTCACAGTCTCCTGATGAGAAAATCATTCCAAGTGGATTATTGTGCCTGGCATTTATGTGACAGATAAAGCTCAGGACATGAGCTCATGGCTTCCAAGCTACAACGACATGAAACTGCCCAATTACTTTATGTTCCCAGTAATAGTAATTTTAATAGAAGCAATTGTAGTAATAGTTTATAGTAATAATTGGATATCAAATTTATGCAAACAGATTCCTTAGCTTGTATATTATAATAAAGGTTAGATTCCTTCCTCTCAAAATAAAGTTCAGAGGCTTTTTACTAATTACAAAACTAAAAAGTTTATATACAGCAAGTCTTCTTCCTATGTTATTCTGGATAGGTAAGAATTTCCAAAGAGAGAGAGAGCATGCTCTGCATGTAAAGTCACAGGAACTTTAGAGTCATGGTCTAAGGAAACTGCTTGTCAGCAGGATCTAAATATAACTGTACTGAGGGTGGGTTTACATGTGAGGAGGGGGGCTAGCAGCTTTTGACACTTCTAATAATCCCATTTCCGTTTTAGGTTGGTTTCTGTTCTTCATTACAATCCCTGTAGTCACCCCCTCCATTTAGTAAAACTTTACACACACACACACACACACACATCTTCTATCCACTGTGGTTTTAAAGTGAAGAAGAAAACTGTCAAGGAATGGGACAGAGTGGGGAGAAACACGGGAGCAGCCACAAAGGCAACAGTGTGAGCCGGCTGGTTGAGAACCCCAAATCCTTAACAATATCATAAGCAGCTGATCCCCTGTGTGCCACAAATCCTCTTAAATCTTAAGGAGGATACTGGACTGCCACTGTAGACAGGAGAAGTCACTCCAAGCCACTTTATCCGGTCTAGTTAAGGAATTGGCAGGTGACCTATGGAAGGCCAGTGAGATGAACTTTCCAGGCATCCAGGGAGACCTTGCTAGTATCAAACCTGCATATTTTCCGACAGTCATGAACAGGAAATGTTAATAATTTGGCTTAGTAGTAACTCTTGAGTTCTTCCAGCCACCAAGTAAGCAACAAAAACCCTTTACCCCTGCTCTCATTCCTGGCCTCTTGCTTTCAAATGTCGTTGTTTCATTTTCCTTTCTGTAAGAAAATGAAAAATTGCATCTTGAGAAGCAGCCACAAAGCTTTTCCGTAATTGCTAAGAAACCTATCCATTTCACAGGCAAGGCGACTCATCACACCTGGTTCAACACTGGGTGGTTTTTGTAGGCTTTGGGGTTTGTTTTTGTTTTGTTTGTTTATTTTTTCCTTCTTCCTGCTCTCTGCAACCAGCACAATTTGGAGTGATATTTTAATTTATTATTAGGGGAGGGACAGCAACTGGTTTTTAATGGTTACAGAATGGTGGCTCTCAACCCTGGCCCAGCTGCTGTCACCGCCGTGCCGCAAGCAGACTTGGAGCATCTTGTCTCAGGCACACATCAGTGCTCCCGCCTGCTGCCTCCCTCCCTCCCAGTGGACAGGCCACCACCTGCTGCTGGCACAGCGCCAGTCCTTCAGGGAACAAATGTTCTCTTGCTGTTGGGCAATAGGACAAGCAGACGCTGGATTTCAAGAGAACCAGGGAAAGGCACCCTCAAGCCAGCCACCCCAACTTCTCCCCACATCTGCCTTGCTTGCTAGCAGAGATCACAGTAACCTAGGGCCATGGGGAATGGGCTTTGGGTCAAATTATGGTCTCAAGCATTCCGTTTCTTTTTCCCTACTAGTCTTTCCCAAGACTAATGTTGCCATATATTTATTCAGGCCACAGGCATTTATTGAGACTCTGTTATGTGCCAGGCAATTTGCTAAGTGCTAGGAAAGCAGACTTGAATACCTCATTCCCTGTCCCTGGGAAGGTCACAGTTTAGTGGGGTAGAAAAGATACACCAGCTAATAAATTCTGATACAACATCAAGAATGTAATAGCAGACTTAAAAACAAAACTTATGGAGAAAGAACACTAATATATCACCCAGGTAGGACATATGTGGGCTTTGAAGAATGATAGCCTTGAAGAGAATCTTACTCTGCCTCTTGCTACCTGTTTGATGTTGGATAATGTATTTGAGGTCTCTAAGTCCCAGTCACCTATCAGTAAAAGATTATATAAGATAATGCAGTGAAATCCTTTAATATGGCACATAGTAAGTATTTTGTAAATAAGGGCCATTATTTCTCAATGTGACTTGCATCCAATGCCTCTCCCAGAGACACAGAGTACTAGCCACTGCTCTGAGGCAGGGGATCTGGTAGCCCATCAAAGATGGGAGAACTGGGACGAGTAAGTAGGCATCAGGGATTGGAACCAAAGATGACCCCAAACATCTGGGCCAAGAACAAAGCTAGAGTACAAGGTCAGGTGAAAACTAACTAGACCATCAGAGAGGAAGAACCAATCAGAGTGGAAGGAATCAAATCCAGGGCAATAGCACAGAAAATTGGAGATATCAGGCAAAACCCATCCAGAAAAGAAAACACAAAGCAGAGGTGAAAATCTAGAGCAACAGAGATTTGAAAAGATGAAAAATTTGGTCAGAGCAGGTAGCATTTGATCTGGCTATTGGGAACTTGCTGGGAAGAGAAACTCAGAAAGAGCCATCCTTGATAGGGAAGCATCATGAGCAAAGGCATACAGGTAAGAGCAAGAATGTCATAGTGACTGGATCATGTAGAGAAAAGTGGAAGAAGGTAAGGCTGGAACAGGGCAGGAGCCAAAACACAAGGAGCTTGCAGGCCAGACCCCAGACAGAGTCCTATTCTTCAGGCCAATGTGGCCACCTAGCAGTCACCCATCAAGATTTAGGAATGCTCAGGCCATGCATATTCTGAGTTGAACTGGTCATGGGTAAATTTTTAAATCTCTCCAAGTGATTCCAATGTGCAGCCAGGGTTGTGAACTGGCACTGTAGCCAATCAGAAGTCAATGAAGAGTCTCCTTGCATGCCCAGAGTACTGGGATGCTATAAGAGAAGACATTCATTTAATTTCAGCAAACATTATTAACACTGACTTGGTGCCAGGCCCTATGCAAGGGCCTTGTAAATATGAAGATGAGTAAGACAGGGTCCACTGCTCTCTGTTTACCTCTGGAGAGTTAATGAATCATGTTCACCTTCACTGTCTTTTCCTGACTGGGAGTCGAGAGGGAATGTGGTCGCAGTCTTTCCGGGGAAGCAGTGTACATAATCACCTTGGTCATCAGGAGGCCTATGCTGAGGTCGGGTGCTGAGCTGCAAGTGGAGAAAATGAATTGAGCAATCTTTTATAGAACAAAATCAATAGCATCAGAACGAGCAGCCACACCAGCAGCTGAGGCTGGCAGGAGGAGGGGAGAGGTAAAGAGGAGGGGAAAGAGGACTTGTGGGAGAAGACAAGGACACAGAGGTGTTGGGGAGGGGGGAAGGCAAAGGGGCCAAGAGAAGTGGCAGGGGATGAGGTGGTTCCTGGGAGAGTCTGCATAAAACCACCATATCCCTGTTTTCTTAAGCCTCCTCTACCTGTTCGAAGCCCTGAGTATAAGGTAGTGCAAGAAGGTCTGAGGGAGAATCTGACATGTGGCAAGTTCCAGTCACTGTGCAAGGTATTTCCATACATAGATACAATGTGATCTTTGCTATTAGCCAATTTCCCAAATGAGAAAACAGAAATCCTAAGGATCACAAGGCTACTAGGCTGTGTGTGATGAAGTCATTTCTCCTCTTTTAGGTAAAGAGACATCTATCAGGAAGTAGCTTTGATAATAAAGATGAACTTCAGAAATAATTATTTCTCCACCTCCGCCCACATATATTATTTATGCAAGGGTCAGAGTAGGTAGAACCTCACAGATCATCTGGTGTGGACATGAGTGAACCCTGAACTGGGGTCTCCTTGACTGACCCAGCTTCAGATAAGACCCTCAGCTTATGTCAACACACCATCATTCAGGTTTCATGATGAAGATGCAAGACAGGAGAAAACACTACTGTGCAACCACAGAGAACATTTTTTAAGACTCCTCAGCATGATATTCCCCCAGGGGAGTCAGATGGAGAGAATGTGACCTTCCCCACTGGGGCTGAGATGGCCCACAGGGTGAGAAATGAACCCACAGCAACACACC